ATCTCATGTGATGGCAAGTAACCCTCGTGTTCTTCCAGCAGCACAGAACAAGCAGCTATTGCCATTTTCTCTGGAAACAAATGAAAGCTCTGTCTTTGCCCCTTCCTTCAGACTAAATACACATATCCTTCCGACTAAATACACATATCCTTCCCCACCTACCGCTGTGTTACACATACCTGTGGCTCTCTAAAGCCATTCTGTCTTCAAAAATTTGACATTTTTTGTCATGCATCCTATTCCAAAAGTAAATAAAATAACTGTATTAAGTGGAATTATTCCCTTCATTTTACAGTTTGAGAGTTGATTTTGTTTCAAAATTTGGAGACTTTTTGATGCTGCAAAATATCTTATAGGGGATACTTAATTCAGCCTTTTGACCATGACACCTTGGAGCAAGAGACAGCTTGTGCAGCAAGGAGGGATGAAAAGCTGAATTTGGGTTTTTTCCATCAACAGTGTGTTACAAAGACATCTTCTTTGCAGCAATCACCTTTGAACAAATTTGCAAGTAGACGAGATCCACGTCTCGTGCACAGCAAAAAGCCCAAGGAGTGTTTAAACTTCTTATTTGAAGTCTGATAACTTAAAAATGTGTATTTGTCTAAATCTTAAGGGAAAAAAAAGGGATCTCCAAGGTCCACCCTTTGCAACAAGCTGGTGTATTTATCCTCCTGAGCAAATAATGGGATGTCTAAATATTGTGAGAATATTCCAAACTGGCTAATGTTACATGTGACAGTAAAAGGGTTTTGATTAACCAGAAATCGTTTGGGAGAGTATAAAAGTAACTGTTTCCCATTACTTCTTTCTGCCTTACCCAGGTGAACCAAGCTCACCCCAAGCCCCTGCCAAAAACTGACAGGATGAACTGCAGAACAGTAATTTACGTGATTTTGCTGGTGAGCCTTCCCATAGTCATAGCCCTGCCTGGAAGTTACCGGGACATAGGTAAGAATGTATCTTATTTTTTTTACTCTATCTTTTTGTATAATGCTGATGGCTGCAGCTTCTCATACATGGTTACTTGGTATCTTGCTTTGCCTCTGCCAGTTCTATGCTGGTGTTTTCTGTGGGTCAAAGGTACACAACAAACCTCAATCTGTACAATTTACTGGCGATCAGCCTCAGATGTGTGGCTTCTTAAAGGCTTGAGAATCTATTTAGTGTGCAGGACAGCCAGTGGTTACTGAGAGGAAGCCTGCTGAAGGGGAATTCCATCCACAGGAATGTGGTTGTACCACTGGTTTTAGGTACTCCAAAACTTGTTGAAGTGAAGCCTGTGGCCTTCTGGGCCCCCTCTGCAGTGCATCAGGAAGTGAGATAGAGGAGGCCCAAGAGGGATGCTGCCTCCATCGCTGGTGGCTGTTGAGAGTAGCTAAGTTACGCTATTGCTCTGTGTTTTCCTTTGGAGGGGGTCTTATTCTCTCTTCATTGACTCCTGAGAGAGCTTACAATGACCAAATTTCTCACTAAGGCCTAAAAATGGGGCCTAAAATAAGGCGCTTCTTTCCCATTACATATTGTCTTCATTAGTCAGCTCTTTTTTCACCCGTATAAATCCCAAATGCACAAAATGGCCCTACATGGTACCACAGACCTGATGTTTGTGTTATTTTTCTCATGTTTTCATCACAGTTGACACCCCTGTGTTACTCAGAGGGATAAGCTGGCTTGTTTCTTTGATTTATTTGATCTTTTTACACTGATCTCAGCCCTACTGATGCAAGGGTGAAACAGTAACACCTTGATTTGGGAGCAGGCCCCTTATTTTAAAATTAATTTCTGCGTATTCTCAAACAGACAAGGACCTTGATAATTCATGACATTTAGATTTGCCCATTAATAAAGGTGCAGTGGCAAAGGAAGAATATTTGCACAGGATTTTCACATAGATGGGACACATGCTTTCCTCTGAGACAGTTCGTAGCATGGACAGAAGAATGCAGCTCTGTGGATTTTGGAGGAGCTTTGTGTGCCATTGTAGTTTTTATTTTATCCCATGTTTTCTGCACGGAAAATCCTTCATCAGTAGCTAGAGTGGTCAAGTGCACTTTAAGATAGCTAAGGCAAGGTTAAAAGATGTTTTTAAGGTGCTTCTTTAATCATGTGCAGCATCAAAGTAGCTGAACACCCCCAGGTTTTAGTGTGTTCCTCCCCACAACATTTGTGCTAGGCAGGGAAATTATATTGGCCCTAATGTATTATAGGTCAGAAACAAGTAGATGGGAAATTACATCTCAGGCCTTGGTACTCCCACTTCTACTACCCCAGGCACTGAATCATCTTTCTCCTAGCCTCCAATACCAAAAAAAAAGAGAAGGTATTTGATGTAGTATTTAGCAAACATTTTTTTACTCAAATACTCTTGTTTTTCAGAGGGAAAAAACAGCATTGGCCAACGCTTTTTACAGCTGCAGAAGAATAATTTTAAAGCCATGTAAGTCATCCAGATAAAGCTTCTACTTGCAAATTAGCTGCCACTGCACAGCCTTGCATTGTTTGGAACACACAGCAAGTCAAATGCTCACCAGTTCTGCCAGCCCAGAATGCGTTTGTGCCAACTCAGCCCCAGTGACATGAATCCTCTTACTGTCTCACATGTAAAAGTTACAGAATTAGTTTCTTAGGTAGCCAGCAACAGGTTTAATGCTGTGTGTTCTTCTCCTAGGGCCCTGGTCATGTTTGCTCAGTACGTGCAAGGAGGCACATTTGGCAGAGCAATTAAAATGGCTGAGGATGTCACAGACCTCGCCAAAAGGTGTGCTGCTGCTGCAGCCAGGGACAATCCAGACTGCCTGAAGCCCTTGGTAAGCACATTTACGTTCCTAATCTGGCAACTGTTTTCAGAAGTGACTTGTCAAGTCAGAGCCCTGATATGTGTATTCCCAGAGAGGCATGTTAGGAGACTTCCCTAGGTATGTGTGTTTGGCCTTAACTGACTCTTTGGTTCTCCAGGCTCTCATCTACAAAGTGTCTCAAGATCAGTGAAGGAAAACAAAGGCCCTCTCCTCCCTCCATCCTGAATAACACAGCATCTGTACCGGCAGCCATGACCTGCATTTCACTAAAAGATATTCAGAAAGATGTCCCTTTATGGCTGGGGTAATCAAGAAAAAGAGTCTGAATAATGTTGTAAGGTCAGAGTGTTTAACAACCATTCCACTTGGAAGCATGTCTTGGCATAACAATAGTACCAGAGTTCAAGAAATCATCACCCAGGTTTTAGAGTTCAGTTTTAGAGGTCAGTCTGATTTTCACTGAAGTTAAAGCAGGAAGGAATTAAGAAAGAAACAGCTTATGCAAGTTGAGGCTTGTTGGCTTGAAGTAGCCTCCTTGCAAAGCTCAGAGGAGTAAAATGGAATCCTCACTCAAGTTAACTTTTTCCTAATTTTCATAGGACAAGATCTTCCTTGATACAATATGCCAGGAGGAAAATCTTACCGGGTTTACTGACTGCTGTGCTAAAAAGGATCCTGAAAAAAATGACTGCTTCCTCACTCTAAAAAATTCATCGAGAGGGTTCATTTCTCCTTTTGAAAGGCCAAATGCAGAAGCTGCCTGTAAAAATCATTCACAGAATCAACATCTATTAACGGAACAGTAAGTCACAAATTCATTGCCTAGATAAGACAGTTATGAACCTTCAGACAGCAAACACAGTTTTCAATGCAGCTGTCAAGTTCTATCTAAGATTCTCTGTAATCCTGTGCTAGTTCTTCTTCCTAATATGAATTATTTACATAATTCATCCAGCTGCAATGGTCATTCTGCAAAGCCTGTTCTGCCATCTCCTGCTTTGGATACAAGTCTGTATGTCAAACAACCTGCCCTGGTTTATTGTAGTGCATGTAAAGGCCTTACCTGAAACCAGGAGCCTCTGTTTAGTCCTTAAAAGCCAAGCAGAAGTTGTGCTGCTTCTGAACCAGAACTGGCAGAACTTGAGATTTCCAGGAAACTGGCCACACCATCAGCAGTTTCCAAGATAAACACCACACTATGTGGCTCGTCATTATGACAGTAAAACAATCAATTTTAGCTGCTACCATTTTAATTTCTGGCAGAGGCAGCTATACCACTGCTGCTCCTGCATGTGGGGGCTTACTGGGAAACTAAAGATGTTTTTCCCTGGGTTTCAGTTTTATTTATGAGGTGGCCAGAAGGCATCCTTTCCTCTATGCCCCCACCATCCTTTCTGTTGCTCTCCGATATGACGAGATGATGAAAAACTGCTGCAGAAGCTCTGAAGACCTCACTTATAACCTGGAGGAATGCTTTCAGAGACAGGTATTCCATCACAGGCTACAGATAGCAGCCACTTCTTCAGAGAATCATAGAAGGATAGAATGGTTTGTGTTAGAAGGGACCTTAAAGTTCATCCAGTTCCAACCCTGCTGCCATGGGCAGGGACACCTTCCACTAGAGCAGGTTGCTCCAAGCCCTGTCCAGCCTGGCCTTGAACACTGCCAAGGATGGGGCAGCCGCAGCTTCTCTGGGCAACCTGTGCCAGGGCCTCACCACCCTCACAGGTGAGTTCTTAGGAAGAGTTCATCTCAATCTCCCCTCTGTCAGGTTAAAGCCGTTCCTCCTTGTCCTTTGCCTACATGCCCTTGTAAAAAGTCCCTCTCCAGCTTTCCTGGAGGCCCCATTAGGTATTTTAACACTGTTATAAGGTCTCCCAATGTGGGGTGTTGGGCAGCTGAAGTTTTACAGTGAGAGCTCAAGGCAATCCCCATGCCCTGTGGCAGCATCACTGTCCTCCCAGCTCTGCTCAGAGAGGACGAGGTGCTACACAGCATACAAAAGCCTGATTTGTTTCCCTGTTAATAGCACCTCGATACAGCTCCTGCTTGTCTGGGTATCTGCACTGCAGAGACATGCCCCACACATAACCCATGTCAGAAATTCAGAGCACACTACCTGTCACAGTGGAAGACAAGGATTAAGAGCATGGAACACTTGTTTAATAAATGCCAGCAACTAAATAGCGAGCACAACAGTTCATATTGCAGCTTGGACAGTGTTTTTCTTTCACTATTAAAAGGTCCTTGTTTAAAAAACAATCACAGCAGTAGTTTTAGTGCAAAGCATTGCCTTGTCTTTTTATCCTCTTTCACAGTCTGCATCTTCTTTCTACCAGGCACCAAAGGTGGTGAAGCCAATAAAAGAAGATGGCCTAAGGCAAGAACACACATGTGGAATCTTGCACAAGTTTGGAGAAAGGACCTTGAAGGCTCTGTGAGTGCTCCCCATGTCCATCTTATTTTGAAACGAAGCACGGATGTTGTGTGTTAGCTGTGGGCAGCTCCGCACCTGCACATAGCACAGTGACTCAAATACCAGCAGTGTCCTTGTCATATGCAGCTCAAAAGCAGCATCTAACAAGGAAGACAGATTAGAAATCCAAATTTAGACATGACAGCTGTCATTGTTTCCTTAAAAACTGCCATTACCTTTCAAAATCTAAACCCAAAGTCTGAAAGGAATACAGCTCTCTGGAACGAAAGTTGGAGCAATTGTGAGCAAAATACAACTCATCTCTCTTACCTAGTTTTGACACACGGTTGCTCCTGTGATTTTTTTGCGCCCACCTACCACATTTCCTTCCACCATCTCACTGTGAAAGTAGCCTGGGGTCCTAAGACAACCCTGACAATCTCAGCTCTTGCCTTCAAGGAACATTTATTAACGTAAGCAGGGAAGAGACCATTCCTGAGCAGTTTGGATACCCCCTGCACAATAAAATGAGAGGAGCTATCACAGCCTCACACTGTGATTCGAAACAATAACTGTTTTTCTTTGTTGTAGGAAACTTGCTCAGATAAGCCAAAAATTCCCTAAAGCTGATTTTGTTACTGTTAGCAAACTTGTGATGGATGTTGCTAACATGCACAAGGACTGCTGCCGCGGAGACATGCTGGACTGCATGCATGATAGGGTAAACCTCACTTACCGTTTGAGTGTTTGCTGAAATGTAATGCTATTTTTGTGTTGGTTTCAGATTTTTCTTCCTCCTGTGCTTCACTGATTGCTCTCTGAAACTGGAGATTAACTCTGCAGTCTAAAAACCTGCTTGATTTTCCCATTTGACTTTTTAACCCAGGAGGACCTTTTGCACAGCAAGCAAGAGGTTGCACCAAATAGATCAACAGGGCTTGAATTTTCTTCCCTGTTGTACCAGATTTGCGTGGCACAGCTTTGATCAGCCGCCTCTTCTCTTTGGGAGTCACCCCCTCTGTCTGGAAAATGCAGATAAAAACACTGATCAAAAAACCCTACAAAGACCAAAATCTGGCAAAATTTCCTTCATTTCTTTTCTGCTTTACAGGAAGAGCTTCTGCACTACGTCTGCACAAACCAAGACATCCTATCAAGCAAAATAAAGCAGTGCTGTGAAAAGCCTCTGTTACAAAGAAGTGAATGCATAGTTAATACAGAAAACAATGACAGACCTGCAGACCTGTCCCCTCACATCAGGGAGTTTATAGAGGACAAGGGAATATGTGAACGTTTTGCCCAGGAAAAGGACACACACTTAGCCAGGTAACTTCAGTCTTCCTCAGCTCTTCTATTTTCTTGTTTCAATACTCTGGCCGCAAGATGACACTTTGGGCATAAAAGTTTAGCTCATCAGCCTCAGATTTGTCTGCTCTGGGAGCATGTAGGCTTGGGGTACCGGGCAAGTCGATCTTAGTAAACCACCACTTACTCCTAGAAGGTGTGAATGCAGAGCAAATGCATTCTGCAAATTTGGAGCAGAGCACGACTGTTATTTCAGAGGCAAAATTGAAGAAATGCCTGTAAAATTTAGGAGCCAACAGTTCTGATTTCAGGTGCCAGCTACAGCTTTGATACACTCTTCAGTGTTGAATTCAAAACACTTAAGTCAGACTCATGCCTCGATTCAAACGGGATCAGCTGGTTTCTGTTCTAGACATGTTCCTTTGTGCGATGAAGCCCTGATCCTACCTGTAGTAAATGTAGGCACAAATGCTCCATGATGCAACAGACACAGCATCAAGTCCCAAAGACAGAGAATTAACTTCAAATAACATACATCAGGTCTAGTTATGAAAATATATTGGGTTCAAACTGCTGTGTAGAGTAACTGCTGCAGCAGAACTCATCTTTTCATTGCCTACTGAGAACTGAGTCTGTTACTGCAAATTATTTCACAACCATTAGGGAGCTCTTTTGGCTCATCTCTAATTCCTGGTACTCCACATATTGCAGGTTTCTGTACGAATATTCCAGGAGACACCCTGAGTTTTCTGCCCAAATGCTTTTAAGAATTGGTAAAGGATATGAGGACCTACTGCACGAGTGCTGCAAGCCTGGAGCTCCAGAGGACTGCTGCAGCAGAGGGGTGGGTGCTGTCAGCCTGCACACCACATACTGATGGATTCAAACATATATATGACCACATGACTGGCCTGCTCCAGGCCTTGAGCCACAGCTGCTGTGACAAACCAGCACATGTTTCAAGGCCTCACTATGGAAAAAGCATCAACAGAGCCTTTGCAATCAACACTTGTGAAGTAATTTCACATGGATAGGCAGAGATGCTGGGAAAAGAGATGCTAGGAAAAGGCTTAGAGCTAAGGTTTCTGCTCTACACTGGGTTCTCCAAGAGTGCTAGTTGCCCTCTTCCAAATATAAAAAGCACTTACAGTTATTGTCACAGACCAAAACATGGGCATGGGCATTGTAAACCTCTTAAGCTAGGAGGTGCCCGGTGTCTCAGACCCAGACTTCCATCAGTCCTACAACATCAAATATTTCAAGGTGGTTGAAGGAGGACATGTACTACATTCAGGCAGTCTATAGAGGTTTCAGATAGACAAAGGCTTTCTATGGAATTAAAAATGGGTGGCATATAGCAGGTAAGAAGTAGTTACAGATAATCCAGGCTTTATCTGGAGGGAGTGGGGCATTCTGCATTCCCCCTGCTACAACAACTCCTCAAATTAACTTATGTTTTTCAGGAGGAGGAGCTGAAGAAACATATTTACGAAACTGAAAGTGTGATGAAGACGAGCTGTGACATTTACAGGGAGAAAGGAGATTACTATTTCCAAAACGAGTAAGACTTTTTTACATGCTTGCATTACTCTAATTACAGTAGGCAGAGCAAACCCAGAGTAGCTGAACCATATACTGTGCACAAACACAACATGCAGGCACAAGCCTCCTGCAGGAACTTTGGGCCTGATTTGCATGTTAACAAGCACATGCCTAACAAAGTATGTACACAAACTTAACGAAACCTTTAAGCTGCTCTCATAGAGTTAGGCTTCAGCTGGCCTGCTCTGGGGAGACACACTGAGCTTTTTGCCCTCCTGTGCGTGTTCAATCTTTAAAAGACGCTGGAATTACAGGCTTCCAACAAGCCTGATGGGCTCCTTCTGCCTGTTCCATCACTGAAGGCTTTCCTGGCCACAGTGGTTAGTAAGCACAGTTCTTGAAAAGAAAAAAAACAAGTAAACTTCTTTGAGCTTATCTTCTGCCCCCATCTAGTGTGCCAAGAAGACACTCAAATCCAATTTTGCTCTTAGACAAGCTCCCTATGCTCCCAGAGAAAAAAATAACAAGGGGAAGACATAGCTACCATATCATAAAAGGGCCCACTAACATGTAACTGGCAATTCTGCTGTTAATTCTATTTGTTTAACCTGGTAAGAAACTGGTCAGAGAAAGGAGAGAGGTCAAACAAATAAAGCAGGCTTGTGAGGTTCTACACACCAGGCTTAGTCCTGCTGTTGCACTACTGAGTGTTCCCTGCGGTTTGGCTGGAGCTTTGAACATGAGAAGGCAGAGGCTTGCTCACTACTGCCTCATGAAACAACATCACCGACTTCAGAAAAATTACCTTTCCAGGCTCCTCATGAGCTTCACGAAGAAGATGCCTCAACTGACATCTGCAGAGCTGATCAAGTTCACCAAGCAGATGACTACGATTGGCTCCAAATGCTGCCAGTTAAGCCTGGACAAGCTGCTGCCTTGTGCCGAGGAAAACGTGAGTATTGCTCCTCTGGATCTCAGTCATACTTCTGGAAACCCTGTCACAAATTCTGCTGCCAGCAAGGTCCAAGAGTAAAGGTAAGTGAAAAGAATGTTCACTGAGCTGCTGAGTTGACCTGAAGGTGTACTTCCATGCCTGAAGGAATCATAACTCCATCTCATTGAAGTTAAGGCTGGAATTGAACTACATAAAAAAGGTTCAGTCCATCCTCCAGACACCCATTTTCTTCACCATCCCCTTAACAAGAGCAGCCACACAGACCCACAGGTGCCCTGCTGAAGACAGCAAGTCCATGCAAGTGTGCTTTATGAAGAAATCTGTCCTCAGTTCAGCTGTAGCAGTCATTTTTCTCCTCCTTAGTAGCTGGTGCAGTGCTGTGTTTTTGACTTTCAGCCTGGGAACAATGCTGGTAACACACCGATGTTTTTCTGTTGCTAAGTAGCGCTTACTCTGACCAAGGACTTTCTGAGTATCATGTTTTGCCAGGGAGGAGGGGAAGCTGGGAGGAAGCAGAGACAGGACACCTGACCCAAACTAACCAAAGAGGTATTCCATACCACAGCACGTCATGCCCAGTATAGAAACTGCAGGGAGTCACCCGTAAAGGCCCAGATGGCTACCGGGTAGGGCCGGGTATCCTCTGGCAGGTGGCAAGTGGTTGTATTGAGCATGACTTGTGTTTATTGTTTTCCTTTTCCCCTTTTAATTTTATATTCTGCCCCTCTGTTATTTCCCTTATCATTATTATTATTGATGGCAGCAGTAGTGATTTGTGTTATACCTTAGTTACTGGGCTGTTCTTATCTCAACCCATGGGGTTTACATTCTTTAGATTCTCCTACCCATCCCTCTGGGAGCTGGGGTGAAGAGAGGGAGGAAAGCGAGTGGCTACGTGAATCTGAGTTACCTTCTGGGCTTAAACCACAACAAAATCACTTGGTTTCTGTGCACAAAGGACAGTCCCTGGAACCACATAGACATACTTCTGAAAAATTATTTCACTGACAAAAGCCAGCATTCAGTCAAAAATAAACTATCACCTACGTTACAAAGTTTAATTTAAGCTCTCTGTTATTCTTTATAACTTCAAGAGCAGTCTGTATTTTTGACTATAAAAAATGTAAATAATTTTTTTTTTTCCCACTTCTCTTGGTAAAGCTGGATCTTGTGCTTGGAGAAATATGCAGAAGACACCTGAGAGACCCTATAAACCCAGGTGTGTGCCACTGCTGCAGCAGCTCCTATGCTCTCAGGAGACCATGCATAGGGAAACTGGAAATGGATGAGCATTACATGCCCTTATCACTGACTCCAGGGCTGTTCACTTTCCGTGAAGACTTGTGTACAACTGAGGAGGAGAAGCTACAGCACAAGAAGCAAGAGTAAGGCGTGCCTCTTCTAGCCTGTTACCTTCCTGTTTCTTATTTTTACCCAGGCCATTAACTTGTGCTGGGGTGAGCCCAAACTTCCTGGACCCTCTGGCGTGATGCACAACACAGACAACACCTGCACACTTAATTCATGGGTAATCATAGAATCACAGGCTTGTTTGGGTTCGAAGGGACCTTAAAGCTCATCCAGTTCCAACACCTTCTACTAGACCAGGTTGCTCCAAGCTCTGTCCAGCCTGGTCTTGAACACTGCAAGGGATGGGGCAGCCACAGCTTCTCTGAGGCGGACCAATGCTAAAACCCTTCAGATATTTTATTTCCCAGGGGAACTGGGCATGTCTTTGCTCCCTACTGCAAATACCTACCTGGGTGGGGAATAAAAATGAAAAAGCTGTAGAAAGGAAGTGGGCAGTAACAGAGGGACTTTGCAGGACTAGGGTTGGAGAAATGCACCATAAGCTGTGTGCTTTGGAGAAATGTACCGTAAGCCATGTGCTTCCTCTGCTTTGCTCTGCTTTCCTTGCAGAATGCTCATCAACCTCATCAAATACAAGCCCCAGATCACACAGGAGCAGCTGACAGCCATCACGGCTGCCTTCACCACCATGAGAGAGCAGTGCTGCAGAGGAGACAACCCCCAGGCCTGCTTTGCCAAAGAGGTGTCCTTTCTGCTTCATCTGACCCACAATGGAAACAGGGAGTATATGCAGAAGGAGGAATTTCTCCTTTAAACAGCCAAACCAAGTCTGGCTAGCCAGAATTCCTGCAGTTCTGTTTCCAAAAGCAAATCTGATTGCCTGCACATTAGATATCAGCACCAGTTAATTCATCACTAGATGACTTACCTAATTAGTCTTGTGTTTACATGCAGTAATTGATAGATACAGAGCTCAGCTCCATCTGTTTCCTCTGGGGAGCTCCTGGGACTGGGCCTGTGAAGGACATGGACAAAGGTCTTTCCCTGGCTAACAGCTCTGAAATGAACTCTTAATTTTTTAATTCTTAGTTCTGAACTGGATTTCACTTTGAAAAGTTCCTCAGCAGTAGGGAGAGAAAGCATGTAGTCACCTTTTAGGGTCAAAGTATTTTCCCTGTTTGTATTCCCTACCACTGTTTTCCTCTTCTCTTGGCTATGTTCTTGTAGCTCATTGACCCTCACACTGCAGAGCTACTTCAGCTTCTCTTCACCCTCCAGCAAATCTGCTTTTGTCTACTTCACATCTCTCTCTCTGATGTATTCCTTCACTAAGCTTAAACCCTCCACAACCCTTAAGCCTGGCTCTCTGTTTTCCTCAGCCTTCGCCTTGCTTTAAATGACAAAATACGAAAAAAGTCTCTCCTGTGATTTCCACCTCTGAACACACCAAGCCAGCCACACATCTGCAAAGAAGCATTCTGCTACCTCCTCCCAAACATCACATCTCCAAAGGCAGCCTGAGCTGAACAGGAAAAACAACATGTTTATTAAACATAGTGGTAAACATATCTTTACTCTGTAGAACATTGTGTGTACACAGCTTGCAAACACAACAACACACTACCCACTGCTGCCACAGTGGGTAGTGGCAGCTTGCTTATTCACAAACACATCACCTTTCTGACTAGCTCATAGATATTTTGCTCTTTTCCAGGGTCCAGAACTTATAAAGAGAAGTGAAAAAATGTTGTCAGCATGAAGAGCTCCCGCAGTGCATTGGACAACACTTGCCAACCTAACAGCAAGCATATATTTTCTGATGTTCATGAAGCATAAACAGGAGCATGTGATTTGTCAGAGTGCACAAAACTACCTTGTGGCTCTTTACTCACAAATCTAGGAAAGTCTAGATGGTTTTACACCAGCTACAGTTCATCTGCTGCTGCAAACAAGGGACAAGAGGCATCTCAATAAACCATATTTTCCATAGGACCTGCTGGGCTGGGGAACTGCTTTTCAGTCATATGGGGAAGAACCCACATACAAACCTCAGCTCTGGTTCCTGTCACAGTGATTCAGAATTATCAAGGAGATGTAAAATTTAAACCAAAGCAAGTAACTTAAAGCCAGCTAAATTTCTTAGTTGTTCAGGATCCTTAAACATACAAGCCTTAAGTGCAAAGAGAAGACTCATCACCTTGAGGAAATCTGCTGAAAGAATAAGTTAAATGGATGGAAATTGTCATTAACAACATAAATCAGACCAAAACCCATTTGTTAGGTTTGTGGCTGACAGCAAGGTGGAGCCAACCTGTTGCAAACCCCTTTACAATTCTTAAATATCAAAATCACCTTGGCAAATTAGAGAGACAACCAAGAGGAAACCAACTCTATTCTACCAGGACACATTTCACACATGACACAGGAACAATTAAGCAGCTGTACCATTTCACTACAGGAGAAGTACTCACTGGGGAGCTGTGCAGGTCACCATGCGGTTATAATGAACCACAGGCCAAGAGCTATCAACAGCTGGCTGCTGATTCAGGTCTAACTTATTGCTCATATACTGGCGGCATAAGCAGAGCAACAGCTAAAGCAGAACAAGGCTTTACTCAGGTATCAGTGGTGGTTTTGATATCCAACCAATGATCAGATGGGCATCTTGGGCTTCTCCAAGCACTGCAGTTTAGAGATGCAGATTGAGATCAGTCCTCTGTAATCTGGGGTGGTTTGGGGGCTTTGTCTCTTCTTCTTATTTTAAATCAGTGATGACTTGAGATTTTCCTCAAGGGGAAGCTCAGTCATACAAATACAAGTAAGAGACAGATTCTCACTGCTGTCTGTATGGTTAATGGCTTAGGCTCCCCATCCAAAAGCAAGGCCCCTTGCCCCTGTCCCCTCTGCTTTTCACTGCTGTGTTACCTGCAATATCCAGTAAACCTTTGGAATAAATTTTCTGCCTGTTCTCACCTGTATTTGTCAGAAATTATTCCTTGTATCCAGCAGAGCAAGGCTAAAGCTTTATTGCAGTAGCCCTTCAAACCCAGCAGGCTCCAGTTGGTCAATGCATTATCCCATAGTCATTTCCCAGCATACTTCTGTCCCTGTCCAGCAGGACAAGTGAAATGAAAGTATTTCAGCACCAGAAGGTGGCACAAATGGCTCAGTTTAGGAATTGTGCTCACGCACAGAAGACTGAAAAGCCTGCTTGAAAACATTTTTTCTCTTTTCCATATGGTCTGAGTATTGATTTATCTTTTAAATTCCTTGCAGACCAAGGAATTATTAATATTTCATATTCCAATGTTCTCATAACTTCACCTTCACACAATTACTCAAGCATTTAGGAAAATAAATATGTAATAGAAACACCCTGTTCTGCATGAAAATACTCCAATACCCTTTCCTAGTTCAAATGAGAAAGATGCTACAACACAGGCCAAGATCTCTGTAGCACTTGCCCTTTCTCAGCGAGGTCAGACAAGCTATGTCCCTGCTCCTGAATTTGATCTAACTGAACATTGCTTTGCAAACAGGTTCCAACTTGCCTTTACAGAAATTTAGGTAGAACCAAGCACAGAGATCCACACAACGTTCTATGTCTGCTCTAGCACCATTTCCATGGTGCATTGCTATTGCACCTGGTGCTCAAATCTCACCTGGCCTTAGAGGAACAAAATCATCCACCCATGACATGGCTGTAACAGCCACTTCTGCTTGGGTTTGCCTGAGAACTTGGCCATGGTCTTCTTCAGACTGCACAGAGATCTGACATTTCATGACCTCTGATGGTTTAGGGTAAGTTTCACGCCTCAACAGCTTGGGTAACAGGTACTTGAGTGGGCCATGGGGACATGTCCATGATGCCTGCATACACGCTTCTGGTGCTTCAAGGAACTTAGATTTGCACCTGTAAGGCAACTATTACTTAAAAATATGCATCTTAACTGCTGAATTACCTTTATTTCTCCCCTCTGTGCTCCCTTGCCCATAATTATTTTCTAGGCAAGACTATAATAGACTGCATATTCGAAAAAACCCTTGGCCCAAACCACAATATCTTCAGTTATGACTTTCAGTTATTGTCACTTTTAAATCACCATCATCTCAGACAATATCATTTTCCATGTTTGATTTATTCTATAATATTCAGAGGCACCATTTCTTGTATGGTGATTCTTTTCTTCTAACAGTGTTTATCTCACTATCTGCATCAGGTAGCTGATGCAAAGCACAGATACCATGTAAAAGAGACAAACTAACACAGGAGGGCAATTCCTCAGGCACAAGTCAGATTTTATTTACATTACTACAGTTTGAGCTTTAGTATTAAGCAGGACCCATTTGGAGAAGACCCAGCACTCTGCACAAGGGTAGACTGCACAGACACTGCACTGAGGCCATGAAGTCTACCCCTCACAGACCACTTATTTACATCTTTAGATTAAAAAAAATCTAAGGAATTAACTTGGAATCTTTTGTTTCAGCAACAAAAAAATCTGAGGTGCCTCCCAGGACCCCATAAGCAAATTCAAGTGTTTAGTTTGAGCTCTTACTTGGCAGTTCAAGGGATATTGCAGACATAAGTTCATCGTTTTGTTGAGGAACTGAGAAGCTATTAGGTGGGAAGGTTCCCATTTGTATTTTTCTAATCACAGCTCAAAGCTTAACCAAGTTGAACATCTGCTGTTCTGAAGCCGGAGGGATTTCAGTCTCTTGCAGAGATATTTTGGGGGGTTTTAATTTAAGTGAGAAGCTTAACTGCAACCTTAGATACATAAATATCATTTGCCATTTACCTCTACTTCTAACGTAATTCAACATTTCTCTAATAGAAGGAAACCCATATATATAATTCTCCTATTTCCTGTACAATTAACACACTGGCTATTGAAGCGGTTTTGTCAGATGCCAGATTTTTCATAATGGTCTATAAATTAGTAGGTTTTAAAGCCTTATGCTTTTCATAGCAATTTTCCCCCTATCTTAAGCTATATTAAGTCTTTTGGGGGATCTACTGCATCTTCTGGGGTAGTTCCCAACTCGTGTCCAGAGTTGTAGGGGAGCAGGCTCAGTTTCAGGTGCATAATTATGAAGAGAAGCTTCAGCACATAGAACCCCCCTGTACTGTCAGGGCTCTGAGGTCCCATCCTGCTCACTCCAGTGTGCTGACCTTCCTTAGGCAGGAGTGTGGGGTGTTCACAACAGGCCCTTCAACTCAAACTGTGGTCTCTGTTCTTTGAGCATTTCGACTGTGAAGGTGCTGACATATCAATCTCTTCTCTCTCAGGTACCTGAGATGGAGAGAGAAAGAGAGAGAAAAGGCATTTCAGCAACACAATCTTGCAAAACTTCAATCCAAACTCTAACAAGGCAAGTTGAATGGCTGAAAAACACTGTCACGAAAGCTTTTCCCATAGCAACTGCCATTCTCTATTTTTTTTCTATATATTTCCTGGCCACTTTGATTCAAAAAGAGGTTATCACATAGTCAGTTCCTAACAGATCCATGGCTGGTGCAGGCTCCCACTGCTTTTGTGCTCAAGACCCATATACCTGCTCAGAAACACCACTGTGTTTCTAATGTGTACTGGTTGTGCATTTCGAGCTACGACCACAAGAACTTGCAACATTTATCACAAGTCAGGTTTTAAAGAGACACTGAGAAATTAGCACTAAGCTCCCTTAAATGCTGTGCTGCCCAAGTCCAGGGAAATACACAGCAGCAAGTAGAAACCAAGGAACCAGTGTGAGGCTCAGAAAATAAACCAAGTAAAAATAAAAGTGACACTGAAAGCCAGAATCTGCTGGAACAATCACCCCTTAAATGGGTGGTCAGTATTTATTCTTCAGTCTTTAACAGCAGCATCTCATCTGGTTATGAAGAATATGTAAAAGAGGATAAATCCCACCAAGCCTCACTTAAGTAATTGCAGCACTGTGACTCTGCTACAGAAACCCATTCCCTTCTCGAGCCAACCCCTAATTGTGAATATTCTCCCAGCTTCAAAGTGACCCCACTTTTCCTTCTATTTGCCTTGAAATTGTCTGTTGAATCTCCTGTTGTTCTTCTTCATTTATTCTATGCAGAATCGATTCCAAAAAGGGAAGATGAAACTGAATATATTGAGCAACCTAGCAAGAAGACAAGAAATGCACATTAGCAACCACACTAACTGGGAAAAATGCTGGGAGCTACTAGAAGTGGTGGGATACGTACATCACTGCTGATCTCTTCTACATCTCTGTCCATGAGGAAGAACTTGGCAATCTTCTCTGAGGGACCCTGCAGCAGTCTGTGCAGTAAGGGGACATCCCCACTCCTCAGTTGCTTCTTTTCTGGGATTCGAGAGAAACATGGTGATGCACAGAACACACAACAGCACCTCACACAACCAGTAGCCTTTTTTCTTGACAAAGGCCCTGAATTCAATCGACGTGCAATTATTAGATAACAAACAAGGCTCCAACACATGTTAGGAGGCGGATGCGGCACCTCACTTATGCTATGCATGGTCAAAGAAATAGGTAGATATACAACAGAAAGGACCTGTGATTTAGGTAGCCACGTAAGCATGATCCAGGCCCACCAGCTTGACCCAAACTCCCTAAAACAAAACTGACTTCACATATTTCAAACATAATTTCAGCTTCATATTCTGACATCTAAGATACATGCCCATCAGTTCTCTCTCTCATTCTTTCAGGTATTCCTTTTAATAAGGATCAAATTTCCTAAAGCAAGAGTATGTTGCAGAAGTAAACATTTTCCACCAAAAAAAAGGTCATTTTAACTAGACATCCAAAACTATCCACTAAAGTATCCCGCATGCCATGGCTGTCACTGTTCAGAACAATGGTCACGGCAGCAAAGCTTTTTAACATGGCCTTGAGAACACCAAAGGCCTGTTTAGCCTTCCATAACCAACTACACCAGCCCACAGTTACTCAGATTCTCCCCTCCACCGGAAGGCCACACATCCCTAAGGGGTCTCCAGAAGAGCCATGATGCCACACAGCTTTCACACTGTCCAAAATAGGACAGATGCCCGGGATGAACCCTGTTACTCCAAGTCCAGTCATCTGCACACACACACACGAAGGGTCACTAGAGATGAAGGGATCGCGCAGCAGTGTCCATCTTACCTCCAGACGCGTGGATAATATAAAGTGCAAATTCATGGGGGCTGTTTTCTATCTGTGAAACAGAAAGAGATGAGATCTTAGGAAGTTCTTCCTTGTGAGTGTGGTGAGGCACTGGCACGGGTTGTCCAGAGAAGCTGTGGCTGCCCCATCCCTGGCAGTGTTCACACTGACCCATTTCACTGTCAGCAGACACTCTATGCTTCTCAACTCAGGTATTTAAACCAAAACCCTGGGATCCACTTGCCCATACAACCACATTCAGCAAAAGGCAGCCCTTTTGAACAATTACTTTTCAACTAATCTCTTAACTTCACAACCTGCTCTGTAATTCCATTCCTTGTGTTATTCAGAGAAGTCAACTTCTCTTTTTAGTATCACACCACAAAGTCTTACTAAATGTATGAAGCCATTCTGTCACAGCAAAGTGTTCAGGCAAGTTATAATAAAACAAGGTAGTTTCAGACAGCCTGGCACTGATCTTGAGCACAACTTTTAACTCTGACTGTCTGGAGCTTTCCATGTGCCCGGATCTAACAGGGCCCATCTCTCAGACCCTTGGGGTTAGAGCAGAATTCCCAGCTGTTTTGAGCACAACACAATGGGCAGGGCCTGTCACTAGAGGGAAGCATGGCCATGGGCATTACACAAACCCATCTGTGCTAGGAAAGGCTCCAAGTGCAGCTGGGTTTTCCTCTCCTGGGCCTCAGTTCAGAGAGAAGTGGCTCTTACCTTAAACTTCTGAAGCAGTTGTTCTATTACTTGTCTTGTTCTCATCTGGCTGTTGATTCTTATTTTGGTTTCTGATCCAAAAGCTGGAGTAAAAACTGACGTCTAGGAACAAAACCAGCAGCAAAAGGGCATGAGCATGAGGTCCACTGAACACAGCGGCAAGGACCACAAAGGATGTGAACCAGCACAGCTCTAAGACAAAGCAGGCTGTCAAGTGTGGCTGAGTGAGCTGGGCTTGTTCAGCCTGGAGAAGAGAAGGCTCTGGGGAGACTTAGAGCAGCTCCCAGTGCCTAAAGGGGCTACAAGAAACCTGGAGAGTGGCTTTGGACAAGGGCCTGTAGGGACAGGACAAGGGGGAATGGCTTTAACCTGACAGAGGGGAGACTGAGATGAAACCTTAGGAAGGAGCTCTTCCCTGTGAGGGTGGTGAGGCCCTGGCACAGGTTGCCCAGAGAAGCTGTGGCTGCCCCATCCCTGGCAGTGCTCAAAGCCAGGTTGGACAGGGTTTGGAGCAACTTGGTCTAGTGGAAGACCTAGTGGAACTCCTGTGGCAAGGAGCTGGAACTGTGGGAGTTTAAAGGTCCCTTCCAACCACTCTGTGATCCTATGACAAAGCACAGGTCATGCTCAGGAGAGCACCCTTGGTACCAGGACTACTGTGGACCCCATCATGCAGGGTTGAGTTCAGAGCCCACCAACACCATCCTGGCCATACATGGGGCCGTTGGAGAGGTGCCCATCAGCTTAGGGGGCTCCAGCCACTTGCGGGGAATTTTGAGCTGTCCCAGTACCCAACCTCAGGTGATGGCAGCAAGCATTTGTACCTCATGATTATAGAAGTGGCCATTAATTGAAAACCTGTGAGTTTCTGCTTCTGCCCTGGCAATCGCAGGTAGCCAGGTCCTGCTCCGCAGAGCCACCACGGTGCTGCCAGCCCGGGACAGGGTGGCACAGTCCTGGTCCTGCTGGCTCCTGGGTGTCAGTGTGCGGCTTTCATAACAGGAATAACCTGGACAGAAAAACCCGATGAGCTGCTTTATCCCCACTGCCAGAACCCCACAGCTAGGAGCCTCTGGATGGTAGGTTTTCATTATTATCATCATCATCTTTATTATTATTAGCACAGCCCACTAGAAGTGGCCATTTGAAAGGATACTCGCACAGCAACCTTTTCACTAACCAGTCACACATCAGTGTTTCACTAGCATGGAATAGATGTTCAGAGACAAAGATAACCCTTTGCTGGCAGGGAAGGCCTAATGTGTCAGATTATATTTGCAGCCACAGAAAGAGTTTTTAGTGAACATAAGAGCACCAACACTAACTTTCCTCAAGGTTTGCCTTTTCTTCAGCAGATTTCAGCGTCTCCCCACTAATGTGATGGAGGTCATCAAATTCTCCCCAGCGTGTCATTCCCCTGAAATACAAAACATACATTTATAGTATGTTTTACTATGTAGTAATCTATGCAGTACAGATTACTATTCATTAACCAATTTATAGGAAAATATTAAAAATCCATTTCCTATATATATATATATATTTAAAACACACTCAACTAACTCCAATGAACATGCCAAGAAACAACGTGAGTTGTGTTCCCTGCATTTAAAGAGTCCATTTAAGATCAAATAGCCAAGCTGCTCTGCATACCTTCAAGCATGTCAGGACAGGTTCACGTTGTTCTGATCATGAATTAATATTTGCTTTAAGATTCAGATCTCCACCAGTCAGAAGTATTTTTAAGAAATAAAAGGCAAAGCATAACTCTAAATGCCAGACTGACCCCATTCTACAGGCCAGATGCACCCTGACCCAGTAGACCTGGTAAAGGGGAACCAAGAGAACCAGAACTGCCTCAGACTCGAGTTCCTCAATGGTTACTTCTGCCAGTTTACATCCCTCAACTTCCATAGCAAGAGACAGGCAACAAGACTGTCCCTGACTTTACTGGAAGCTCCACAGCTGCAAAGAAGGCAGAAGTAAATCCACAGTTCTAACATGTACCACATGGAACCTAAACCAAGGGATAATTAAGAAAATGAGCTCTGAAATACAGAATTTATCAGGGAGTTACTCAGGGTAAACATTGGCCCAGCCTCCATATTATACATTACTCAGCTTCAGCTCATCAGACAATTCAAAGCTCACCAACCAATGCTTGAGAAATACTGTTCAAAACAGAAAGAAGAAATACTCCGAGAACCTACATTAGTTTTTAAAGCTACAGCAAATGTAGCAGTAGTCCCATCAGTACAATGGACTTGATGGGCAATGCCAGAGGTAGGAGCCTGAAGGAGCAGCTGGTGGTGTGTGTTTCTGAGGACGTTTAACATCAGACTTTGCACAGACAAAGCCAGTATTCATTCCCTGGCTAGAGCTTTGGCCTAAGAGGCAACTCTTTCTCACCTGAGGTAACTTCCTCCACCTTCTCAACTGCTCTTCAGCTAAAAGCCAGGCAAAAATGCAAAAAAGGTGCACCTTTCTGCCCAGCAGAAGTTGCTGAAGGACCACCACAACCTTTGGGGAACCTGGGATACGCAGCCAGACACATCCATTGAACATGAGCTGTTTTTAAATACTACTATGCCTCTTTCTGATGGAGGTTAATTCATTACCTTTTACTAGGGAACAAACCCACATTCTCCAAAGACTTTAGGGTTACAAATGAGGGTATCTGCTTCTCATCCTGAATTTTTAATCGGATGGGATGTCGGATGCCCCAAAATATTGACAAGATTCCTTCAATAAATGGTTTGCTTCCTTCTCGCTGGGGAAAAGAAAAAAGGGAAGAAGAGTAATAATAATAATCAAGTGACAATCATTTATTTCCCCTCAAACTTAACAGAAAAATGGTGAAATCATTAAACCAAGAGGAATGCAGCTTGTGGAGGAGAAGCAAGTCCAGACCACTAAAACAGAGACTCTGTGGTATGAGAAATGATTCATGCTTCAAGCCCTCCTTCAGCTCCATAGAGGATGCATTTCTGGGGCTCAGCTTCCCAGCATTTTTCTGCACTAAAGGTTCACACTCCAGGAGAGAACATTAGTCTGTCCTTGATAGGGTGACAGTCATCCTACCACTATACACCAGGGGTTAAAGTGGAAGAGTGGGGGAATGCACCCCACAACATCTGCAGTACAACTCCCTACAATATCAGTGCCCATTAGAGTTTTTCCTGCTATTACATTGTGCTTACCTGAGTACGTGACAGTTGCAGGTTTTCTTGGTCAGAATAGTAAGAGTTATAAGTCTTCAGAAGTGAACTGAGTTGCTCTCTAAAACAAAATATCACAATGAAAAGAATCATGTTTTTAACATCCATATCACTGTAAAACCCCCTATCTCTTACCCACTGCCTCTTTGTTAATGATTAATACTTCATTTTCCAGAAGTAAATTTGTGTCAGGACACTGGGTTACTTTTAACCTGCCTCTTTACAGGCCAGATACACAGAGGAAATAAATCACTTGTGGTCTGCTGTGATGTTCATAACCCTGCCCCAGAATAACTTGTACTTTGGACTTCTGCTGCAGTCATGGAGGGAAGCAAACAGTAGCAACACTCCCATGCACCAGCATTGCAGATGACTGCAGTCAGGTTACCAGTTGTTTTCCCTGTATGAGGGCTCTCAGTAGGTTTTTGTATCTTTTTCAGATACATTTCTTATTTCAAAATACTTCTAATATGCCTAGACAAAGCATTTCAGTTTCCTTCTGCTTGAGAAATAACAGCTTGGCACTAAGTCTTTGCTCAGAAGAGAAAGGATGGAGTTGCAGAGAACCTCTGCCAACAAGCAAGGGTTATAATCCTGCCCATCATCTTTTATTTCAGAGATTAAGGATGCAATTACAAAAAGCAGAATAACATCCTGCTTTGAAAGTACTGCACTGAGTCAGGAAGGCAACATGAGGCACACTGGTGCTAGCAGTGTTTAAAATTCAGTATTTAAGAACCACCAGAGATAATTATGCCTGTCTCCACCATTGACAAACTCACATATAGCCCTTGTGAACAAGGCAAGGGGCAATAAATGCCATGTTGCACAGATACAGGCTCGGAGTGATTGCTTTGGCACTGATGCTGGGGAAAAGCACCTTCTGGCTACCACTAAGCAGCTGCTGGTCCCAAGCCAGCTGTGCCATGCTGAGATGGAACCAACACACAAGGAGAATATCCTCTTCAGGGCAAGGCTGCTTGAATTACAGCCCAAGGCCTGCTTTGGTCAAAGTACTCTGCTTTCTTCACACTACTTTTGGTGAAAGATAAACACCAAGTTGACAGTATCCAAAGAGTGTGGAAGTGATAAGTAGCATCAACCACAAAGGCAAAAAGCAAGTTGCGACTTGAGCTAGGGAGGACCAAGGCAGAATTAAGTAATATACAGAAACATAGAATAGTTAGGGTTGGAAAGGACCTTAAGATCATTCAGTTCCAACCCCCCTGCCACGGGCAGGGACACCTCACACTAAACCATGTCGCCCAAGGCTCTGTCCAACCTGGCCTTCAAAACCGCCAGGGATGGAGCATTCACAACTTCCCTGGGCAACCCATTCCAGTGCCTCACCACCCTCACAGTAAAGAACTTCTTCCTTATATCCAATCTAAACTTCCCCTGTTCAAGTTTTAACCCGTTACCCCTTGTCCTATCACTACAGTCCCTAATGAGGAGTCCCTCCCCAGCACCCCTATAGGCCCCCTTCAGATACTGGAAGGCTGCTATGAGGTCTCCATGCAGCCTTCTCTTCTCCAAGTTGAACAGCTCCAGATTTCTCAGCCTGTCTTCATACGGGAGGTGCTCCAGTCCCCTGATCATCCTCGTGGCCCTTCTCTGGACTTGTTCCAACAGTTCCATGTCCTTTTTATGTTGAGGACACCAGAACTGTACACAGTACTCCAAGTGGAGTCTCACGAGAGCAGAGTAGAGGGCCAGGATCACCTCCTTCGACCTGCTGGTCACGCTCCTTTTGATGCAGCCCAGGTTACATATTTCAGGACCATTGAGAATGAAACACTGTTACACCAATTAAACAGCAAAAATGATTTAGATTGTAATTCAAGAAAGCAACTTCTACCAGCAGAGATAAGTAAGCTTGGGAAACAATTGCATGGAAGCATCCAAATTCTTCCTCATGGACAATCTTCAAGCATCAACTGATATGACTAACAACAAAGCTGTTTAACATCCTGCCTTGCAGTGGGGAGTGAAAACACCGAGTGTGTTTGCAAATAATGACTCTTCTTTCCATGCTTTTGTCTAGCATGAGATACAAGGGCTGAACCATCGGCAGAACAGACAGCACTTGCAAAGTCTTCTTACAGCAAGTTGCACTGAGATCTAATGAAACTGTTCAAGATCCATGTACCATCAAAAGCGCTGTTACTGCTCCTACACAAAATTTCAGTAAAAAAAACAAACAAACAAACAAAACCCGAAACCACTCAAAACCAACCCCAAGAATTGACTTCTAGCACCATTACTGAAAATCAAATCACACCCGAGAAGGATACTCAGTAGAAAAAGCATTTTACTACTTCAACAGTCAGAGATCACCACAAACAAAGGAATAATGTGGTATGTGTAGGAATTTTTCACAGCTGTTTCCCTATAACAGCCATAACACACCCAAAACATGAGGAAGTGATCCATGGTGACAACAGCACCCTTATTAGAGATGACAAAGCTAAGAGCGATCCCTCCCCTAGGAATGGAATCAGTTTGTCCATCACAGCAAGCAGTTCAGAAAGATAACTTCAAGGATGAATGCCCAGCACATCTCCCTGATCAGATAGTGACTCAATTTAGTAAAACTGTTTAAATGGCTCTTCAGTTGACTCTGTAAACTTAAAAACAAACAAATAAAAAAAAAACAAACAAACAACCAAGCAAACAAAGTCAGTGAGTCAGGGGATCTCAACTATGATACCAAGAAACGGCTTTAAATTGACAGAGGGGAGATTGAGATGAGATCTTAGCAAGAAGTTCTCTACTGTGAAGGTGGTGAGGCCCTGGCACAGGGTGCCCAGAGGAGCAGTGGCTGCCCCATCCCTGGCAGTGCTCAAGGACAAGTTGAATGGGGCTTGGAGCAACCCGGTCTAGTGGAAGGTGTCCCTGCCTGTGGCAGGGGCTTGGAACTGGATGAGCTTTAATGACCCTCCTATCCCAAACCAGTCTGGGATTCTATGAAACCAGTGCAAGAGAACAGAAGGATGGATTACACAGAGAAACACAAGTAATTTTGGTTGGAAACTGCTATGTATGATTTTAAGTGTTCCAGTGAAAGTATGCTCTCTCAGGACTATCACTGTCTTACTCCAGCAGTGTACACCCTCTTCTGTATTTTATGACTGTGTTTCTCAGCCACCTCTTACCATAAATGCATACCCACAGCACCTGGACAATGCAGTATCTCTGCATAATGCTAAGCAGAACTTCACCACTGCATGTCTTTACTTAGGATACGGACCTGCAGCACCTGCTTCTTCCTTCAGGACTTATGAACGTAAAGCCAAGCAGAGTGCCAAGGTGGCTCAGATGGACATGGCTATGCTTGTGGTGGAGGGGTAGGCAGAGTGTGCCAGTCTAAAGTTTCCCCTTGCATTCCCTATCTTTGCTCCACTTAAACTGAACTTGGCAGTGTCCTCCTGCCTGATGAGCCTTTTTCCATGGTGAGAAGGGAAAAGATACTCAGGACTTTTACTTAGCAGGTAACATTAGAACAAAGGCTGCACCTTGAAACTCAACAAGGTTAACTGCATTTCCTTCTAACACATTGGATGTAAATTATTTACTGGAACTTACCATGACTCTCAAAAGATGTTTTCCAGTGGCTTTATCAACCAGACATGGGGCACCAAAACAGCATTTTCAACAATTACTTCAACTCTTAAACCCTAGTAATACAGCTGGTGAAAGCCTTTCTTCCTTTGAGCTGGAACAGCTCATTACAGGTTGTCTCATGAACTATGAGGATTGTATTCAGGTCATCCCACCAAAAGGGAAAGTTCTAATAGACATAGCTATGAATCAGATAGAAGCAAAATTGGGATCATATTGGCTAAAGGTAAACAAGATTAAGCATGTCTCTGCCTCATACACAGGCAAAATCCAGATGCTATGTGAGATTAACATGCAAGTAGGAGAGAGGGAGTTTTGTTTGACAGATGTTGTGACAGACCTGCTGATCCTGCTTGCGCAGTGCTTGAAACATAGGTCATCTTATACTTTGCAGCCTAGTATGCTTGGCAATCATTTTATTGATTACCAAGTTGTCATTTTCCAAGGTTTTTCCAAGTAGAAAGTTGGGATGATCAGTTTCCTGGAGACCCAGATCATACTCTGAGGCCCATTTATTACTTGTAAGCCATGCAAATAAAAAAAGCCTAAAGCAAATAAAAAAATCACAGGCTAAAAGCACTTAATGGTGTGGTAAGAGTTATCTCTGAAGCAGATTTCTGTTTCTCTCAAGATTTTTCCTTAGTTTCTGGTCTTGTCTAGAATAACTTCCCACTAAATGCCACAGGATTTTGGTCAGATAAATTTTTCAGGTTTCAGTCCTGCATTAGTGCACCCAACAGTGACAAACCACATGAGCCATTACAAAAGCCCTGAGGGAGAGATTTAACAGGATTCACTGACTTGTTTGACCTTGTGTAGTGGGGACAGGAGGAAAGGAAAGATTTTTCCTTCTTTTAACCCCAGAAATGAGTAACACATGCACCACCCTATTAGTTCCAGAAGCCTTTCTGTAACATATCTTTAATTACAAAGGCCCAGAGACTGCCCTAACCAGGGGGCATGTGGTCATCTCTGAAGAGTTAAGCTTGCCAGAAAGCCAAGGGCTCTGTGTTGCAAGACTGTTCCTCATAGCACAGCTCTGGGACAGCAGCCAAATCCAGCCATTTCTGGAAGCCTGAGCTAAGTAACTGGTAGAACTACCTAGAGACAAACCCAAAAAGGTAACATTTACTGCAGAATCATCACTTGGTTCAGTAACGAAGGCAGGATACAAAGGAGCTGTAAAGTCAAGAGCCCTAGTGGTAAAACCACAATATAGCCCAGATTATTTTTGCTTGAAATGCCAACACAGGACAGTTCACCTGTGCCTTCTCTCTCAGTTCCTAGACACTTATCCATGGATATTTATGGCAGTTATTCAGAAAGATAGTAGTTCAGCCAGCCAAATGCCCTGGCCACCTTTTTGATCCAGCCCTTGTGCAATTCCCAAACAGCAAGCTTGCCACATCAGCAAGATTCACACAATTCAACTGGAAGAGGCTTGATGTAACAGCCAACCAAAGGTACAGATGAGGGATGATAGTTTGGAAACAGCATTGGAACTGTATGCTCAAGTGCATACCGAATATGTCAATGATTCTGGAAACACTTGTTATTTGGTGGGTTTGGTCTGGTTTGCTTTTTTTTCCAAGGCAAAGCAGCTTCAGCCACACTTTAAACCATGACTAACAGAAGGGTCTCAGCCATGATTCACGTATCATTACTTGAACAGGCAGTAACAACTCAAGCACATTGGTTCACCTGGCACATTTCCAAATGATTTTATATGCCAAGTATATAAAAGTTCACACAGATTAATTACCTTTAACACAAAGTCACTATGTCCCAACAACGCTTTAAGAGGAGGAGGAGGATGCATTTACTGTATGCATGCTTTGGGCAAAGCTCTGACACACTTAAAAAGGGAGAAATTCACAGCACTACTTATGCCACATACAGAAGTGTCAGGATTCAGATGCAAATACCTATTACACTGTGAGAATATCTATTACAGGCCTCATCCCCAGGTGCGTGTGTACTTCGCTTCTTTGTGCAGGAATATTAGGAGAGGTGGAAATGAAGTAAGAGAACAGCCCCCTCATCAGCTCCTATGCTCTGGTCAACAGGGGAAAAGCTATTTCCCTACAAACGGGATGGACCTATACAGCAGAGAGCTCTGGGCTCATGGCAGCATTAGGAAAAATTCATGCCATCCAGACTTAACCAAGGGAAAGCATCCCATGAAAAACTGTTTGAATGCAATTCCAAGCTTTGTACAAGGAGGTTAAAGAACCACTTCACACAGAATAGAGCTGGGAGCCTGGCAGATCTTTTGCCAAGAAATCCCTCATCTGTAGCCACAGACTAAACCATGTGCCTCAAACAAGTAGAGCTCAAGTGAAACTCTGGAACTCATGTTCAGTTCTAACAGATTCCAAAAATAGGAAGGTCATCCTCGTTAATTTGGAATTTTACTTCAATATCCTCTAAATGTGCTGTTCTACATAAAAAAAAAAAATCTATAGACCAAGAGGTTTAATGCTCAATTCTTGAAAATCCTTATATAGGGCAACTTTGTTCTGGAGACACTTGACAGAATGCAAGTTCTAGGAATTGCTACCACTACAGGCTCAGCTCTCTAGAGGATTCCCTGTTAATGAAGAAATACAGAGTGATTTGAAAGAAAGCAGCCAAATCATTAAATGGTTTTGTTTTTTTTTTTTAATAGTTTACCTGGTTATGAACTTCTCCTCATTGATGGAAACAGAAGGTAGATGCTGTGCTTTCATAGTCACTTTCTTCATTTATTCCAAGGAGATGAATCTAAACAAAAGGTTAAAATAATAATTATAGCCACTAATGCCACTAAGAAAGATCAAGTGGCAAACACAACCACAAAGCCTTAGTTTGCCAAGTGAAACAGGATCAGACACTCAAGCTAAGGGTTAACTACACCGTATTTTGACCTCTTTGTGCTCAGCCCTAATACACATATATCCCACTCCTAGTAAAAAAAGCCATAGGCCATCCTCACCAAGTACATTACAGCACCTTAAACCATGTAATCCCAGACTGGCTTGGGTTGGAAAGAACCTTAAAACTCATATAGTTCCAACTCCCTGCCACAGGGAGGGACACTTTCCACTAGACTAGCCTTGAACACTGCCAGGGATGGGGCAGCCACAGCTCCTCTGGGCAACCTGTGCCAGTGCCTCACAGGGAAAGACTTTATCCAAGTACTACATATGCCAGGACTTTCTCAAGTAGTTTTAGGACCACTCCACAACTCCATGATGACACTTCACTCGTTAGCAGATGGGCTCCAACTACTGGGCATAATTCAGTAGTTAGTTACAGATAAAGCATTGCCCAGGGTCACCAAAAAAACCCTAAGTGAGTCAGCAAACCAGTCCTTAACCAGGGCTGTAGAGCTAGACAAGAGAAGAAGTGCTGATCGTCAGCAGTGTCCGGTAGCACACAAAGAAAGCAGCTGAGAGATTAAAGAGAGCATAAGGCTATAATTAAAGTGATGTAGCAATATAATCTACAGATCTCCATGTTGCAATTCCAGCACATTGTGTAGGCAGTGAGCCAGCCCCTTGAGACTCCAACAATGCATTCTTCAATAAGCTTAATTACGGAGTCTTGGCTGCCTTTATTCCCCCTCAGGTACTAGAAGAAAAGGCTGACTGAAGAAAGTAACTGAAGAGACTCAGACTTAAGACTGGCAACAGATACTGCACTAAAAAACTTAGTCTCAGCCCAAGACATGGCATCACACAGAAAGGCTGGAGGGTGGGGAGGGGAAAGAAATGGACTCCATGGAAAACAGCAACATCTCTAAAGGCTGCACTGGAAGTAGATCTTTCATTTCTCGATATTAATTGTATTTCTTAATGCAAGAAATACTTGCATTCAAAATTCACTTAACCGCAGTTGATGTCCTTTCTCCCTCATGCTCTGGACTTGAGCCCAATTTCAGACTGTGTGGACAGAGTCTGGTGTAACACCTCTGAAAAGCAGTTTATTGTCTACAGTAGTAATACCAAGTAGCCTTTGGGAAATCAATTTAGAAAAGAAATCCAAGCTTGGAAGTCTCATTGCTAGCTAAAGAGTAAGTGCCTAGCTTCTATTCAAGTGATCCTACATTACTGAGCTCCTGGTTTAGAAGTTCCCTGAAGTTTTCATAGTCATACAAGAATAACTTCTAAAATAAATGTGGACAAACAAGAAATTGTGTAAAAACACAGTACCGTCACCCTACACAACATCTAGGACATCTTTTCACAACCTCTAAACCCAGAGTGCACTAGCAAACTGAGCTTTATGCGAGCAGCTGGGGTTTCTAGCAGCACTGTATCAGTAGCTCACCAACAGAAGCAGGAGGGATCCCACATCTCATTGTCCTTTGGGTGACATCCATCACAGCAGAAACACACCTAGAGGCCAGATAACCCCAGGGACTTCTGTACAGCCAAGAGTTTGTACAGAAAGAAGAGAACACTGTATATAATCAATATAAGCTTGCTCTTTCTTTGCCTCTGAAGTAAGCTGAGTTCAGAAACCACTGGACACCTCTTGAAATCTGTTTTTAGGTAATTTACAAATACCTCCATCTGAATCAACTGCCTATGACACAGTATTTCAGACCAAATTTAAATGATGCAGAGGAACTGATGTACATTGGCACCTGGACAACTGGATGTACACTTTAGCTTCCTACCATCCATCAGGAATCAACATGTTAAGAACAGCAATAATCAAGTTACCAGTACCACTGGTAGAGCAGCAACTCCAGCAACCTCCTGCACTACTTCATCGCTGGTGGTAGCATTGTTTTCAGTACAGTCTGACCTTCAACAGATTCATATGAAAGAAAAGCTCAGACTGAGAGGTGACCTTTACACAAAAGATGATAATCACTGACCTGTTTTATTGCAGGGAATGACTTTCGCTAAATTATTTGCCTTAAACTTGGGCATATCTTAAATCAGCTTTAAAATGGCTTAAAAGCCGCCATTAAAATGCTGACACTAAAACAAACTGGAACAGTAGTTGGTGATGGGAACAATTCCTCACCATGCCTCCCCCTTTTCCTTCCATCAGTGCCCAGACAAAGAGTGGCCTCTTCTATAGCTGGTGCAAAGCACAAAAAGCTCATTACAGTGACGTGACCAGTTCTGCTCAGAGTTGTACAAAACATTTCCACACCACCAGCTCACCCTAGAGATAAAACACTCTATGTACCCTTCCTAGAAGCTCACACATCTCACAGCCCTCATTTTTGGTTAACCCAGAAACCTGCAGGTTGGGAACATGCAGCGACTTCCCCAGCACAACTACTGGACACCACAAATGACAGTATATTTACATTAGTGCTCTTTAAATTCCTGTCACATATTCTATCACCTCCTGGCATTTTCTTGTCTTCCATGTTACTCTCCTGCGATTCTTTTGATGAAGCAAACAGAAGTGAAATGGTTTTTTTTTTCCACTGCTCTCTATCATTTAAACTAACAAAAATAGGCTGATTTTCCAGTTCTTCCAATGATACATGGTTCAGGCCACCTATTTGTCTATTCAAAGCAGTCTCCTACCTTGCTTAGTGTTAGACAAGTGTCTTCATCATTATATTAAACTGGACTAGAACCACAGAATCCCCCCTCAGATAGGCAAGAACTTAAAGAAGCTAAGACTAACCTCCTGGCCTGAGACTTCACTAAGAAACTTAAAGCTCCAGGGAAGAGTGAAGCCTAAAATACTTTTGAAAGGAGAGAAAGAAGCAGAAGGGAAAGACAGGAGTAAATGAGAAGTGGGGCAGATAGAAAATGAGCAATTCCAGAGGAAGACTGTTAGTGGAGAGGCAGATGAGAGGACTTGTTTCATTTCAGTAAGTACAGTGATCTTGAAGTTATTTGCTTAAGGGGACAGCAGAGGGACAGGACAACCAAGGAATGACAAAGTAAAGGTAACAGCAAACTGCCACACTGATTTTTACACAATGACAGAAGGAAGCAACTGTAGAGAGGAGGGCTGGAAGGAGAGGGACACCCTACATCCAGAGCTGAGCCCAGCAGGAGCAGGAAAGCAACACTTTAATTTGTACATAAGAGCCTGGATGTGCTTTTTGGCACATCTCTATACTATATTATTGCCAAGCAAGCAGTGAACTACACACAGCTCACACCAGTCTTAACAACAACTAAATGCACAAATCTCCCCCAAAGATCCCTAGGCATATTGACCCAGTGCTTCCCCAAGCTGTCATAAAACCACAGGAAGTCAGAATAGGGTGAACCTTCTCCCTTTTGTGTGTAGAAACCCCAAGGCTCAGTTTTCTTTACTCATACATACACATGTACAGCATAGTGAGCTTGGCACTGTAGTCACAATAGCACCTATACCCAAGTCATGTTTCGGGCTCAGAAGCGTCTGGTATTCAGCCAAATTTTGGACCAGATAAAACCAAGTTAAGGATTTATTCACACACATGAGAAATGAAGCATCAGCAGAATATTCTTCCTCATCTTTACCTAGTCACACATTGTATTAGCCTTCATGTTGTTTCTTTTTTAAGTTCCGTCCGTGTCCACACCAGTAAAAGCAAAGGTCTAACCAAAAGAAAGCACTTAGTCCAAACACTTGCATTTTTCCTTACTGAAAACAAGGGTTTCTTTGGGTTTTTTGTCTTGCAGACTCCTTTACTGTTAAAAACTAATTGCTGCAGTACAGAGGAGTAACAGCGTGGCTTGAGTACAAAACACAGCTGTCCCCCTGCTCAGGCAGGATCAGAACAGGCTTTGGTGGCTGAAACCAGAAGTAAGTCAGCGTTAATCAGTGAAGACGGCCCCCTAACTGAGTGGAGGGACAAGACACACAAGCTCCCTCCCTTCACACAAGAAGAAAGCAGGGATTGTACCAAGTCTATTCCCAACACTAAGTAATCCACAATTATGAAGAGAAGTTACTTTTATTTTTTTTTCCAGGTCCCTCAGGAACAATGGTTTTTACTTGCCAAAAAGGGCAGACAAGGTCAGTAATGTAACCTTTGCAATCACACTGAATGAGGAGCAGCAGAGGCTTGTGCCCATGAACACGCTGATCAACAGCGGCAGCACTTCCTATTCCTGTTTCAATCACAACTGATTCACACAAACCACCTCAACTTCAACAGCTTCTGACCAAATATTTCTCCCTCCCTCCAGCACCCCAACCACCCAGAATGAATTCAGCTGGAGTTCTGGGTGACTGCAAAGGACCTTACTTCCCACTGACACCGCACTTTGCGCAGCAAGCAGAACAGCTCCAGCGTTACACAGCACTTACCTGCACACAGGGTCAGAGCAGAAGCAGAGGAGGAGTTTCACATACCTTGCACTGAGCTCTGGAGAGGCATGACAGCAGCACACTGCTGACAGCTACCTCTGCCACTTCAGGAAACCCACAGAGCTCTCAATTACTGTTTTGCTTCACAAACTGGGAGTGCTGGGAACCCAAGACACTCCCCGCACCTCAGAGCATGTCGGGAATATTTACCTACCCACCTGCCTCCCTCTCCCTCCACCACGCAGCCGACAGGAGCTCTCTTAGTCATGGTTACACCTATGAAGAGGCTCTGGTTAACACTTTAATCTCTAACTTCATAGTGAGCGGCAACCTGCTGACTCCTGGTAATTATTTGCCAACAGGGCGTACCCTGAAACATCCTGTGCTGGAAGAAGCACTGTTAGGCTTTAACCTCTTCTCTGTTTAGCAATCCATACGATAAAGTCAATTTCCTTCTCCAGATAAATGCTAATCTTTGGTGGAATAGCCAAGCCACACAATCACATCATGCTCAAGTAGAGACCTATGGATTTATAACGTAATAGAAATGGTGACAACACAGCTTCATCATTTAATCACATCCAGCTGAATAATCAAATCTTTGCTTAACTGTAAAATAGCCTTATGGATATTACTCTGTGGGCAAGAGCTGTGTCTGTAAGAGAACACACTGATGCTCAGCAGCTAATTGTATAAACAGATGTTTAAGCCGTAAAAAAAAATTTGAACCAACACACACCTTCTGAGCAAATTCTGTTTGCCCATCCATTTATAGCAAGAGATTTATTCACAAGATCAAGCCTAAAACTGGAAGTCACTGGGCCACAGAGAGAAGAGCACAAAAAATCCTGAGCCCCGAATAGCCTTCATACTCATCTTACGGCTCTGGGATTTAGATCAAGTACTTCTGCCTTTATATAGTGGTGGACTTGGCAGTCCTGGGGGAATGGTTGGATTTGATGATCTTACAGGTCTTTTCCAACCCAGTTGATTCAATGATTGTATGTTAGAGAGGCAGAACAGACTCATGAAAGTTTGATTCCTGCTCACATCTGTACCCCCCCGGGCACTCCTTTCCAGAGCTTGTGCACACAACACAACATACTTGGTATTTGAGATTATAGTTTATGCTGCATTTTCTAGCTCAGCACCTGAAAAATAGTCAAACAAGGGTTTCACTGGTGTATATATAGCATTGAAAAGTCTCTCACACCACAGGAAGGAGCCAACACACCAGATTTTTGCTCAATTCACAACAGCACAGAAGCTCCATGTTGTGGTAGACTTGGAACTTCACACCAAGCTCAACCCCTGGAGCTGCCCCATCTCTTGTGCAGTTGTTTAACAGAAATCCATACAACACCCCAACTTGCTTAAAACCAGAGGTTTGATTTTCTTCTGGCACAGCTTCAGACTCTGCCTGATCCTCTTGGGATCAGAGAGCAAGCACAGCCTGGCACCTGCAAGTCTCCAAAGCAAGATAACATTGGATCTCTGACAGGCACATGCCATGCCACTAGACACTTCCACTGTTGGGTACCAGGAGGTATCCAAGTATTTCTAGATCTGAAGACAATAATGTTAGCTTACAACAGGGCAATGACACTTAACCCTGCAGTGTAACCCAGGCTTCATCCTGACTCCCAGCTTGTAAGGTTTTATTTGGGTTTTTGTTTTTTTGTTTTTTGTTTTTTTTTTAAGATACATTTAAGTTTTTCTGAATAAATTTTCAAGTTTAGAAGCAAGTTTTGGAAACCCAATACTTAAATTACTTTGACACATGCAAAGATCTCTCTGTAAGAAATTAATACAATAAAGCAACTAAAAACCTAATTTGAATAAAGGACTAGAGTTCACACTTCCAGTTAAGCCAGGCTTATTAAAAATGGCTGTTTGTTTCTCTCCCACTTAACTAATCCCACCAACAGTCTAGTTGTGAGGGGAAAAAAGCTTTAGGGACACATACAGGAATTAGTTCACTGTAAGCTCCAAGAAAGAGACTGCTCCTATTCCTTTCACAGGAAAGGAATAATCAATGCACACAGAGGTTTGTGGTTTGTTTTTTTTTTGTTTGTTTTTTATCTAGCATAACAGTTTACATTTCCTGGAAATCTAAGAACAAGCCAAAACATGGCTATACTGTTTCCCCCTTCAAATGCAAGGGTAACAATGATTTCTTCAGCACAGGCAGGGAACATGCTGCTTTGAGTCTTTATAGACTGTATTAGATTTCTGGCTCCTTGCATGACGAACATTCAAATCATTTTAAGTTAATTAAGAATTGGAAGTTTGAGGTCAGCTGTTTAATAACTTGGCCTCAAATCATTAACAAACAGACTGCTGGAGCTAAAAAGATCTCAAATGGGTGAAACTAAGACTCCTGCTCTATTTTTGTAGTACACAGTCACAAGAAGCAGTCTAGCCATTGTGAGATCCTACATGGCTGCTGGACTCCAGTGGAAGTGTTCTGATAAACACAACAGGATACATGAGCTCACAACAGATTGCTGTGCTTTACGGTGAGAAGGAAAATCCATAACGTTGTTTGCAAACAGCTGTTTCTGGCCAACTTCATTAACCCCAAAAAGAAAAAAAATCCATCATGGACTTTGAGCCAGCTACTGTAATACAAAGGTAGAGCCCCATCAGGCAAGATCTGAAACTAACTTAACCAAGTGATCAATTCTTTCATTTGTATTACAAACATTACCAAGGGGTTGCACTGATAATAGCCACAAACCAAGGAATTTAGGACTGCATTTCCCCCACAAAGGAACTCCCATTCTTCAGCAAGATGATTTTCTGTCATCACACCAAAGTGCCAACAGGTGTGATGCCAACTTGTGTGCCAGGACATGGTTTGGAGACACACCTGATAAGGACAGAAAACAAAGTAGGAAGCAGAAGATTATCTCAGTTTAGTAGATATACAATGCACACATCCACTGCTATGCCTTACAATTTATTATGTGCCACAATCCCCCGCATACCATCTTCTGAATTTTGGGGACCACAATTTTTTAAGGTACAGTAAAGAAGCAGAGCTGATGCTTGTAGCAGCACATGTGCTAAATGGTATAGGGTTTTGACATCACTTAAAGAGCTGGAACTTCCCAGCTACTGATTTCTACCTGCACTTTGCTTGCATATCTCACTCTCTTTGCCCTCATGAACCACCTTCAGAGGAGCAGGTCTGTAGCACCATTAGTCATGCACCATGGCTTTGCATTGATTATACACACCCATTTAGTCATCCATTTGATATTACAGAAAATGACAAAGGCATACAAGAATTTTCATTGCCTGGAGCTAGGGAATATTTTACAGGGCAGAACCAAAGGGAACTGCCCTGTCTAAAAGAGTCATGCAGCTCCTCACTCCCATTAGAGCATAAAATCACCATCTCACCACACCCAGCCAATTTACACAGCACTTACCAGCTGTAAGTCTTCCACAGTTAAGATTTTCAGGCCCAGATTTCACTCAAACCCCAAGGTATTCTACAAAACACCACTTTCACAGATTCCTTTCTATGTACCACTCTACATCTGTACACTTCTGCCTTCAAGAGTCAAACCCCCTTTTCCACCTTGCTTCTGTAACACCACAAAAAAAATCAGGCTCCCCCCCCCCCCCCCAAACCTCCATTCTTTTTCTATCTTGTACTATGGGCTCCTTTTATGCTCAGGTCACTGCACTGTAAGGGCCACTTGAGGCTCATGTGACTGTGGCACCTAAGCCCCATTTCCAACATGCTAACAATTTTTCTTAAATTACTTCTTTGTTAAGGCAGCTGAGTCATCACATGGACTGTCTCCTATATTCTGTTTCTCTTAAAAACATCCCTCCAATCCTCTCTACAACTAAATGGTCATACAAGTCCTAACCTACAGTTTCTGAGAAGCTTCAGGTCTTGATCCTGACTTGAAGCTATTGCCATAATTCTGTGAAGGTACATTTGGAGCTACCCTGGCAAAACAACCAGTTAATTTTTCTGCTACTTCTACACTTGCCTTTAGGTTGTGTATGAATGGGAAGATTCAAGCTGCAAAGCATTGTATGATTAGTTGAGGTGTGTGTGTGGGGGGGGAATTACTGTCCTCAGATTATATCTGAAGGGGACCTACAAGGATGCTGGAGAGGGACTTTTCATTAGGGACTGCAGCAACACAACAAGGGGTAATGGGTTTAAACTTAGAGAGGGGAAGTTCAGGTTACATACAAGGAAGAAGTTTGTTACTGTGAGGGTGGTGAGGCACTGGAACAGATTGCCCAAGGATGCTGTGAATGCTCCATCCCTGGCAGTGTTCAAGTCCAGGTTGGACAGAGCCTTGGGTGACATGGTTTAGTGTGAGGCCTCCCTGCTCATGACAAGGGGTTGGAACTGGATGATCTTAAGGTCCTTTCCAACACAAACCATTCTGTGATTCTATGATTCTCCTCATCCTAGGATGTACCAAACAATAAAGCAGACTTCAGCAATAACCTAATTCTAACACATTTTGAATCACAGACATACATATGCAAGTTTATATTTTCTCCACAAGCAAAAGGAAGAAACGGGAAATGTCTTTTCTCCACTGAACAGCAATCCCACATTAGAAATACAGAAAATAGAATCAGAAATACCCAAACCTTATACAAGAGTCTACCAGTAATCAGTCTGAGTTGAATTTCTGATGAACACAATGCAAATCATACATTGTTTCCTTGACTTTGTTGCAGTACATGGCATTGTGTCATGAACTTACGAATTATCTCTACCATACAGCCTTGAAGCACTGTCTTATTCCCTGTTGAACATGCCCACGTGTGGCTGAGTTCAAGGGGGTTTGAGAGGCTGTTCCCTGTCATGCTGTCAGTGGTTACTACCCTACCAGTCAGACCTTCAAAGGTACTACCTTTTTTGCCCCAGAACTTCATCATCTGCAAACTGACACAGTTCCAGATCCTGAGATGCTCTGAAGAGATCTCTGTGGCTCCTTGGGTCTCTAAGAAAGTTCACCTTTTGACAGACACCCTCCTCAACTCTGCTTAATCTTCTTGCTGAAAATCACTGCTCTGGGTGGCCCCTATCCTTCCATAATGCTGCTTTCATATTACAACATCAAATAACCCCTCTGGACATTCAGCTGTCAAGCTGATTTTACCAAGAGTAGATACATCAGTGTACTTACTGTGTCATATTTATATTCT